TCATGGAGATGATAAATTGAATGAGTTTTTAGAGCACCTTAATAGCGTTTCATCTTCCATAAAACTAACCATGGAGGTGGAATCACAAAACAAACTCCCCTTTTTGGATGTGTGCGTAGAAAAGCATTTGAACAGTCTTAGGACATCTGTTTATAGAAAGAAGACACACACAGGACAGTATTTAAACTTTCAATCAAACCACCAAATTTCTGTCAAGGAGGGGGTTGCTTACTCTCTGTTTGACAGGGCTAAGAGCATTTGCTCCAATCAGGATGAGTTAAAGGATGAAATAAAGAAAGTAGAACAGGATTTGGCTAGTAACGGATACCCTCGATCCATTATAAACAAATGCAAGAAAGATAGGGCTACGCGTGAACCTTTACAAAATCACAAGGAAAAGCTCGTCCACATGTCAATCCCGTATGTGTCAGGGCTGTCGGAAAAAATCAGAAGGGTTGCTAGGAAATTTAATGTGCAAACAGCGTTTAGGACACAGAACACACTTAGGCAGAGTCTCGTCAAAACAAAACCCAAAAATGACACTCAGGATACTAAAAACTGTGTTTACAGAATAAATTGCAATGATTGTTCCAGGCCTTACTATGGCGAGACAAAAAGACCGTTGAACGTTCGAATCAAAGAACACAGGGAAAACACCAAAAAAGGTTTAGTGGAAAAATCTAAGATCGCTCATCATTGCTGGTCCGAAAATCATCGTATGAATTTTGAAGAGGCAAAAATTGTCCATAGGGAATCTCATTTTTTCAAACGTAAACTCATTGAAGCCTCATACATTAAATTAGCAGACCAACCAATCAGTCAGTCATCGGTTGAAATCAGGCCACTTTGGCTACCCATTTTGAACAAGGAACTAAAGGATAGGGAACTTAATTGTTCAATAAATAGGGAAATAACGAGTTCTCCTCAAAATTCGCACGTTATGTTAACTCGTAGTAAAACTCGTGATAGGAATAAACAGAATTAACTCCCTTCTTGCGGCATCGTACATCGCTCCGCCATTTTGTTGGTTTTAATTTTCCAAGGACCGGAAGCCATTACTGTTGTCTCCGTGTTTCCGATTGGTCGGCCATGTTGCTTCAGTCTAATTGGTGGAGTCGTTGCGAACGGTGCTATTAGTGTTCCATTGTGTGAGCTTTTTAAGTTACACCTTTATAGATTATAGTGTTTTGTGTTTGGTTATTATTTGCATGTTATATCATGACTTGACTGCTTAACAGTGCATATTTTTTGACTGCTACTTTCTGTAGTGTATTCCAACTTAGGTTGGGCGTTTGTGTATTGTTAGTTGTAATGTGTTAGTTAAGTTTTTTTCACCTGAGGACGGGATCAGATTCCAGATCCCGAAACGTTGTGTATTGTTTTTTACATTCGTGATGGAAAATGTCCGCAATAAACCTTTGAAAAACATTAACTCACCATCACCAACAATGAACTTCAAACAGAGATCTTTTATATTTTTTTTTCAAAAACAATTTGTGTGTCTGTGGGTGAGACAAAGCACACGAGCTTAACCAACATAGACAATTTATATCAGTTATTTACTTCTACTGAAACAATGTACGAGTAATTGTACATTTTAATTCTTCCCCTTGCACCTTCTAATATTTAGTGAAAATTAACAACAACAATGTTGGTCATGTTTAAATTCAAACCATAGAACTATTATATTTAGGTACCCATTACTATTACCCATCCGCTTTTGTTTATAAGTAGATATTTTATATTTAAATCAGTTTTTAATTTCTGATTTTCTCAGGATTAAGCCCGTGACCACCTGTGTATCAGGGACAGGCACTAATTGCGCCAACTGACCTGAGTCAGGTAGTCCGGATATTCCTGAATTGCGCCAACTTCTCCAAAGAGCGATAAGTTCATTAACGGGGTCGCAAGTCCTCGTAGACTGTATAATTGGTTAGGTAAGGTCAAGTTAGGTTTAGGTTAGGTTAAGTTTGGTTAGGTAAGGTTAGGATGACACCTAAACAAGGTTATTCCATCTGCAGGCAAGTCATCCATACCTGGCTTGGGCTTGGCGCAACTAAGGAATATTTTTGGGACCCTTAGAGGGCTTGGCGACCGTGTATTAGGTGAGATTTGTAACCACAGAATATTGCTCCTCTTGTCTCCTTTGTGTGAAAAAACCTCTTAGCTGATCCCATGAAAATAAATAAAAAACTATTGTAGATTGTTCAGCATTTCCGGTCACACACACATACACACACATGCGACGTGGTGTATTACCCATTCCATATTCCACAAGTGGGACACGACTAACATGTGTATTTGCCTGTTTCGTATTCATTTACATGTAGTCACGCTATTATGTTCCATGGGAATTTACTTAACTATTAGTTCATAAAGAGAAATATATAAATATTAGACAGTAGGTGTCGCCAGTGCTATTATATTTCATCACATAGAGAATGTTTTTCGACGCGAGCTCTTATTTAACACAGCTATGGCCAAACATATATTTGGGCTATGAACTGTATTTAAAAAAATAATTAAATAACTATCTTCATCTAACCTGGTTGATCTGGTGGTTTGTGTGTATAAAACAATTTATCTTTTGACCCGAAAAAATTTTGTGTTGAATCTGTGTGGGTGAATTGTAAATTTAATAATATCTACTTAGACGTTTCATCTAAATGTACAAACTAATTCTTAAACATATTATACAATATATTACGGTATGATGACGGTTAGTCGAACGATTAACAGGAAATAGTCATGAAATATGAAAAAATATTAATAACAATACTTGTTTTGCCTTACCAACCTTTAAGCCACTGTTTTAAAGTGAACTGAATGCAGATAAACACTAATATACTTCGGTAAAAAATTACACGTCAAATAACGAAACTCTATTACATTAACTACAACAATGGAATAGTATTTCATGTCGTTACTGGTTACAATAATCAGCTGATTCGTAGAGTCGTAGAGAGGGACAGATAATCAGCTGTTAAAGTTTAAATACTCGTTTGATTATTGTTTAGGCTTATTTATTCCCCAAAATTTAGAATGCAAAACATTTTCTACATTTAACTAACATTGATACATCATTTATTGTAATAGTTAATAGGTTTATTGTAATAGTTAATTCGATAAAAAGTATATTTTTTCAAAAAACGAAAATGAAGGTATCGAAATTTTGGTTTTATGTTTGACGTAGTTCGACACTTGGAAAGGCTCGACAGCTGCCAAAACATGAAAATTGAGTCGATGTTTTAAGTTTTTAGGTTGCTCCACTCCACTTTACGGCGGCGTGCACCCAGCGTACCAGAACAACTCTGGTTGTACAACAAGTACAACAATATACTTTGTCTGCATATGTTTTCTTCGTGGATGGAAATAATATAGATTTATTGTACTATCTTCTTGATCGATTCCCACAGACCCATTATGTTCTCTATGCAACAAAGTAGTACGACTCATTGATATAATTTTTTGATCGTCTCTATCCAGTAAGAAATAAAATAAAAATTCGTATGTTATAACCGATTTTGAATGATTTTAGTAGTTAAGTAACAAATAAATAAACAAAATTAGTAATTCAGTAAATACATGGCCAAAACTAATAGTGTCATTATTAGTAACATAATGATTTAAACTATTGTATACTCTCTATGTAGCACGGCGCTGGACGCAATATAGATACAGGGTGTGCTGCGGGCATTGCAGCTACATCTCTCGCGGTTGTAGTAGTTGCATGACAGTTAGTAACATATAATAATTTAAACTATTGTATACTCTGTGTAGCACGGCGCTGGACGCAATATAGATACAGGGTGTGCTGCGGGCATTGCAGCTACATCTCTCGCGGTTGTAGTAGTTACATGACAGTTAGTAACATATAATAATTTAAACTATTGTATACTCTGTGTAGCACGGCGCTGGACGCAATATAGATACAGGGTGTGCTGCGGGCATTGCAGCTACATCTCTCGCGGTTGCAGTAGTTACATGACAGTTAGTAACATATAATCATTTAAACTATTGTATACTCTGTGTAGCACGGCGCTGGACGCAATATAGATACAGGGTGTGCTGCGGGCATTGCAGCTACATCTCTCGCGGTTGTAGTAGTTACATGACAGTTAGTAACATATAATAATTTAAACTATTGTATACTCTGTGTAGCACGGCGCTGGACGCAATATAGATACAGGGTGTGCTGCGGGCATTGCAGCTACATCTCTCGCGGTTGTAATAGTTACATGACAGTTAGTAACATATAATAATTTAAACTATTGTATACTCTATGTAGCACGGCGCTGGACGCAATATAGATACAGGGTGTGCTGCGGGCATTGCAGCTACATCTCTCGCGGTTCCTGACTTGCTGCACTCATTGATCTACATCGTGACCTATTTACCGCCTTATCGTACACAAACACCCACCTTAAGGGCGTACGTCGTTTAAGCACGCCTTGGGATTTGTCATAATGTAAGATTGTTGTTGCGATTAAAAGATTTCCGTATGGAAATTTTGGTTTTTTTTCAATTAGAATGCTTAAAAATGAGGTCTGTTTCAGAGTAGTTAACAATGGATAATATCGGTTTTTGTGGCTTATAAACTGTATTTTAGTCAATGTTGTATCAGTAAATATTTTATTTAATGGTTAATTATGGGTTCTATAAGATAAAAAATCAACCTAACAAGATGAATTAGTTTGTATGAGATGATATCAAGGGTTTTATGAGACTTGCAATCTGGTTGCTCGATGATTTTGCCTAATTCTTTTTAGGAACTGTGTGTTCGAACATTTGCTTGGTTCTTGTTACTATAATTGTTAAGTTATATTTTTACCCTAGACACACAACTAAGAGATGAGAAGGACTTCGCTTAAAATCGCGAGAGAAAATTCATCAGGGTGGACAGGGTGGTGGCTACAAAACCCTGACGTCATGAACCCCACAATGCACATAATATCTTTGTACTACGTACACTTAGTACATATCTGACTCGTTCCCCTTACCTTCTCCTTGTATCCCACAACACTTCCACCTCCTCAGACTCCGGAACACTCGTCACTTCTCGCACCTCACTGCTCACTACACACGACTTCTCCTCGGTCCCGTGGACGACTTATCTAGAGATACATGCAGAGTATGTTACCTGCATTACTCCCTTTCCAGGCGGTCCATGGTGAACTCTGACCAGCCAGCCGCGCCCGTCTCCCGGTTTGCAGATCAATACCTCCCACCGTAGTACCCTCTCGGACCACCGCAGCGCCACCGTACTGAGAAAATCAGTAATGAACACGCCCGATTTGGGAAACCGTGTTTTCATACACGTAGTATTTTTGGGGTTTCGTCGAAATGGTTGACGAAAATTTTAAGAAGTCTTAGGGATTGAAACTGCACTTTTTGTATTTTAACAATTGTTTGTCGTTGATTTATTATTAAATTTAAAAGTATTATAGTAATTTTTAAAATTCATGAAAACTCAGTACTACAGATAGTAGGTTTATATCTAGCTATCTTATTCATTACAAAGTGTTCAAGGCTAAATGTAAATTGACCGATGCTTCTTCTAGGTGTCGATAACGCTTCGGCAGAACCCCTCGAATATATGTAGCATACTTTTGTTAACTTTAATTTGGGTCAAGTCCGACCGACAACAGAAAACCAATCATATATTTCAAACTGGGAATTTGGTTAATTTAATTCAAAACATTTTGTCGACGTCATTGGTTTAGCCTTGTACTAAAACGCGATAAAAAGCAACTTTCTCTATTTTCAACGTCCTATTGGAAAGTTATTGATGAACTTGGAGCACAAATTTGTATAAGAATTTATTAGGATATAAATAAAACTATGAACTAATATTATAAACTGAATTCAATTCAAAGAACTAGCAAAAGGCGGGTTATTATATTTAATGAGCGAACCCTTAACTCAAAATCTACTGCCTTTCCTATGCATGATTAAGAGATCGTCTCTCCATCAGCAATACATTGTTCATACAGCATCGATTTTTCATCGTTAAAGTGTGTTTGTTAAACAGAACATTGAATCTAAGGATCGAAGATTATAATTTGAAATTATATATGTAATGAGGTATTGTTAGAGAAAAATTCAACGCTAACAAAAATTAAAATATTACGTGGGGGAAAGGTATAACCATAGTCTTCTACAGGGGGCTATGGTAGCCTATAACTCCTCCAGTTCGTGGTATTATAGACCTAAATATGTTTGAAACTGGTAAAACTCTGATGGTTGGTGGTATCTACACACATAAAGTCAATGTTGATCAGTAAATTAGTTATTAGTGATTAGTAAATCATATGAGGAATTTTGCACTTGCACAAAAATCTAAAGAAGTAAATTTAAAAAACCTCTAATAGACAGTAACGAGAGCGGATCAAACGCAATAAAAATGTTCCATATAGTTGTTAGTTCAAGAATGTATACACACAACACCCGAGTTGTCGTGTTGGTAATAATTCGAGCAAGTGTAAAGTGCAACCATCCTGAAATTGTATGCATAAGTAGGGTTTCAGAATCCACGGAGTAAAGTAGGGTGTATTTATAATCACACCAAATGCAAACGTTTGCCGAAAACCGTGGATTGAAATCGACAATAATTCAATCTACAAATATTTTGACCACCGGCTGCAATGGGTATGCCAGTTAGACAGATTTGTGACCGTGAGCACGAAATGTGTTTGTACCTTAAGCTGGGTTTTCCTAGCAGCGGAGTCGGCCGGCGGAGAGCGGACAACGGAGAGCGGACTCAGCTGGTCTTCGGCAATTTAATGTTACTGTTTTCCTAGCAGCGGAGCGGACCACCACGGGCCGAGCGGAACTCGCTTCTCCGCGTTCGGTTGTCTAGTCGCGGGACGCGGAGAGTGGAACACGGAGAGCCGAATTAGTTTTTAATTGAATGGTAATATTTTTCTAGAGGCCGAAAATCGCTCTTCCGCGTTCCTCTGCTCCAAGAGCAGAGAAGTCCGCTGACCGCTGGCGGACTGGCCGGGTCTCTGTACATTAATTTATCAAAGTACCTATCGACCACACTTTGCTCGAGTTGAGGAGAGCAGTAGTGGTCTTTGGTCAATGACATTCATCCAAATATTTTAATCAGAGAATTTCCAATATAGGAAATATGCTATTGCCGTAGGTCACATAGTAAAACCTAAACACGTGCCCGATTTACTTTTGTCTTTTTTGAAGACTCCAGAGACCAAAACACGTGTACAATCTGACACAGGGGGTCTGAGAAAAACGATTCAAATCAAAGGGATACGATTCCTCATACCAAAATAAAGAAATATGTTCATAAAATATGGCAGAAAATGAATATATACCCAGGTATCCGCAGTTTTTTTAAAACAATATTTGTATCTTTGACAATATTCAACCCATCTTTACGAAACTTGATCTATATGTTAAATAATAATTTTCATTGATCTTACAGGAAATTTCCCTATTTAGGAAGTAGCTACAGGTTTACCGTGGCACAGTAAAACTTATACCCGCGACCAATATAATAAAAAAAAAAAAAACTGTTTGTTCAAATTGTTATACAGGGTGTCCCGTAAGTAAACAGCCAAACTCCGGGAAATGGTTCTGTGGGTCAAAATAAAGAGAAAATCAACAATAACATTTTTCCTAAAATCGCTTTGTTATCCAGATATCCGCCATTGTGTATTTTTTACATAAACATTTTTATTTTTGATATGTAGGTGAAGGTTAAAAAGACCAATGTTGGTAAAAAAAATCATCTCGATTCAACTTAAACATTTTTAAATGGCGGCCATTAAAATGGTTTAAGCTTAAATTATTTAAAAAACGGCTTATTTTATGAAGAAATGTCAAGAACACCTTTATTTAGTCTTTTTAATTCCTATCAAACGATACCAAGTTAAAAAAGATAGAATAATAAATAGTTGAAATATTACGATTTTTAGGTGTACAATGGGATAGAATAAGGCAAAAGCTAGTCAGGGCGATTTTGGAAAAATGTTATTCTTGATTTTCTCTTTATTTTGACCCATAGAACCATTTCCCGGAGTTTGGCCGTTTACTTACGGGACACCCTGTATATTTATGTGTAGGGTTTTCCGTAAGTAAACAGCTAAGCTCCAGCAAATGGTTCATCGAGCCAAAATAAATATAAAATGAAGAAAACATTTGTTCTAAAATCACTTCGTTAATCAGATATCCAAAATTTCGTGTTTTTTTCAGATACAGATTTATTTTTATTTTTGGATTTATCATAGATACTGATATTTATAAAACTTTGTATGTATGTAACTTAAAGTATGTTAGAGTACAAGAGACCCATATTGAAAAAAAACATTGTTATTGTCTCACAAAACATTTCAGAATGGTGGTAATTTAATTTTTTCTAATATTTAAATTTTTAAAAAATTGAGGAATTTCATAAAAGATTGTCTGGAATACTTTTATTGAGCATTTAAAATTTCTTGTCAAACTTCTTTTATCATATTTTTGTCGTGAATCTTTACAAAGAAAAGTTTAAAAAAACTACAAGTTTAAAAAGCGATGAAATTTGTAATGGAAAAGAAATAAACTGTTGTAGTTTCATTGTTTAAAAATATATTTAAAAAAATTGCATTAATGAATATTTTACTATGAAACACACGTTATTACTTTAAGTACCCGTAGTGGCAAACCTAATCACTCATTAAACTTAATTTGATTGAAAAAGGAAATATGCCTAATTTTGATATTTTAAAGACATATTTTACTGAAAGTCAAATCACCGAAATGGATATTCGCTTATTCTGCAGGTTTGCTGTTGTGTGAGTATTTTTATTTTTTGTGAAATTATCTACGCAAAATGGGTCCAACTGTTATTCATTGTTTTCAAGATATAAACAAAAATTCGTGTTAGTTAGTTTTGTTAGCTAATTAAAATGTTCAGAAATATGGTGCAAACCAAAAACATCATACCCGTGGAACAACGAACAATATAATAATAAAATAGTATATAATGATAAAATACTATATAATAATAAATTATTATATAATAATATAATATTATATAATAACAAAATATTTTATAATGATTAAATATCATAATAATAATATTTTAATATATGCACCACAGAGAAGTAAGATATTTTTACTTCTCTGTGTATGCACCGGATGTTCTTACGCGGCGCGAGTGATTGTTGTGGCTGTGGCCAGGCCGTGGCTCGTCACTCATTGTTGTAGTTTGTCGCAACGTGTTGTTTACGTATCACGTAAGTGCAGCTATTTAACAATTTGAAGACAGCAGGAAGATAGCTCTCGATTATCATTGCTTTAGCAGTTAACTGTTTACTGCAAATCATCAATAACAGGTAATTAGGAGTGTGTTTTTTAGTTTAAAATTATACTGGCCTACCTACTGTATTTTATAATTGTAGCTTCACTGCTAAGCAAAGTTTACTAAAATACAATTTGTTTAGTTCAACAGTTTGACCATTGGATGTAAATGTATATGTTGTATATAATATGCTCAATGGCTGGCATTACAGTGATTTTAAAGGAGTTTCTTGGTATCTATTCTAATAAAACAAACGTTTTTAAAATAATTTGGATCCTTGGAATGAGGAGGGGCTTTAGTCCACTAAACCTCTAGCCTTTGGAAAAACACAAAACAACTGTGTAAAACCAGAAAGGGACTGAGGTCCTTTCTCTTTAAAATACTAAATTGAATTGGTCCATATCTCTATTATTAGGACTTTGTTTTTACATTATGGCTTTGTGCAGCTATGTTATAGGAACTGTTTCGGAGGCTTAACTCAATTTCATATTTTTTGTGACTGAGTTCCTTTCTTATTCCAAAGTATGTTTTATACATAGGGTGAGTTTTCACCTAGTAGAGTGAAATTAAATTATTCCCCCCTAAACCCCATACAAAGAATCCATTAAAAACATTCAGAGCATGATCCAAGCACAGGGTGTTCCAGAACTGAAGGTCACAGGTTCGAATATGGAAATTTCTTTATGTCAACCCACATCTTGTTGTACATTTTTAGAAAGCTCTTGCTTGCTTAGACCCACATTTTGATAAAAACAGAACATATTATGTATATATATATTTATTTATTTATTCATATACATGTATGTGTGTCCGTTATCACGATAACTCGAGCAAAAATGTTCCGATTTTGACGAAATTTGGTATAAACGTGAAAACCTATTGG